ATAACTTGGCAAATGACCATGGAAATAGCGGGATAATCAACAGCTAGCCGTACATTAAAGGATTTTAACTCCGCTTCGCGTCGGGCGGTTCTTTGCCTCCACGTCGTGCATTTAAAATCCTTTAATGCACGGCTAGCCGTCGATTATCCCTTACATATACAACAAATCATAAGAAAATAGTTATTAGAACAAGGCATCACATTTATAGTAGCATAAAATTAAAAGACTAACTAGCAACAATATAGTTGAAATCAAATGTAAAAACTATAAACTCATATTAACCATAAAGATTAAGGAATACATGTACAATTATTAAACAAGTGTTTTTTTTTAAGATAAGATGCTTATTTTAAAAACATACATGCTCATCAAGGCTGCATATATTGTGAAATATTATTAAACATATTAATATATTGAAATATATATATTTTATACAATTTCAACTGTTTTCTATTTGAATATATTATGTGATACAACGCTGAAATTTCAGCAGCCATTATTCCCATCTCCTTCAGAAATCATTCTAATATTCTGATTTGGTGCTCAAGAAACATTTATTATTATTATCAGTGCTGAAAACAGTTGTGCTGCTTATTACAATTCTTCAGGATTCTTTGATGAATAGAAAGTCCCAAAGAAACAGTGTTAATTTCATATATAATAATAATAATAGTCTTTACTGTCACTCTTAATCAATGCCTCCTTGCGGCATAAAAGTATTATTTCTTTCAACAAAAAACAAACAAAAGATAAGAATAAGAAGACATTACAGCCCCAAGCTTTAGAATGGTAGTGTATGTTTTCTTTAGGGGCCAATTTAATAGTCTTCATTCAAGATTTGAGAGCATCACATTATCATTACAGCAGTTTTGTTGAATTCAGGCATCATCTTGCAGTCCAACTAGGTTTTTATTTACTTGTCAGTCTAATTTTCATTTGTGTGTGTGTTAATTTGGGACCCTGTCTACAGCACTGCCAGCACTTTGCATATTTGAGATGATTTCCACCTCATCTTTATTTCTTTTCTATCTGACCTAACCCAGACCATATGGTTTACATCAATCAGACACACACAACTCATGATTCCAAAACTTTTTCCACAGCCCACATCTCTCAAACAAAAACATACCCACACAGTTCGCCAGATCGCAGGCTTGAGCATCAAACTGAACCACGTTCAGAACTCCGCATAAGCCATACACACATCTAACCCTGAAACTGGAACACACGGAACGTCCAGATTTAAACAAATCCGTGTAAGAACATGTCAAATGCTTCGCTTCCAAACTGAAAGCTGCTGCGTGAAGCAGTCTGATCAGAATTCACAAACCACACAAAACAGAGTTATTTGAGGAATAAAACCTAGACGAACGGAAAAACAGAGCCACTGGAGTGTGTAGATTGGCGAGTTGTTAGTGAAAGAGTAAAAGTATCAGTATACAGTCGGCTTACTAAAACAGGAAGTGGACTGTGTTTGCCTGGAGTGAAGGAATGCGCTCCATATGTGAAAAGTACCGTGTCTTCATTTCATGAACAGGAGAAAAGGAGATGTAGGAAAACAGGCATATTCACTAGTCTTCAGTTTATACTGGCAAATACTGCCGCACCACGTACACACAGCCACGTCTCCGAGCCCTCAACTCATCTCACACACAGCACATATATACACTGGAGGCTGCTGAAAGATCCATGTTTTTTATTTAATGTTTTATTTGTTAGGGACCGATACAATAAACATAGATGAAAATGAGAAAACAATCATCCCATGCATGTACCATAGTGCTTGTAGCCGAAGCTAATTTGCAACACTTGTCCCTAGGAGGGCTTTTATAAATTACAATTACAATAAACAAGTAGTACACAATTTTATAATATAAGTACACTAAACGTGACTACAGGTTTGTTGGTGTATCAACCAAGATTTCGTGGCTTTCTTAAAATGATTATAATTTACAGTAGATTTTAAATAGTCAGGCAATGAATTCCAAAATTGTACACCTTTCACTGAGAACAATCTGAGCAAATGATGTTTTGCAATGTATAACGTTACTGTTTCCACTAGAAGCCGCTCTAGTGGATCTACTGCGTCCCTGCAATCTCTCGAAAAATGTACATAAGGGCATAGGAGCAAGACCATTTAAACGCAAACTTTACATAATGAAAAAAGACAAAGTGAGCAAAGCTCAAAATCTTGTATTTACTTAGGATCTGACAATGATGGTATCTTATTTGCTTTCTATCTAAAATGTTCAAAGCTCTATTGTAAAGACATTTAACCTGATTAATTATGGATTGATTTGTCTGAGACCAAATAGCTAATCCATATGCCATGTGTTATAATATCATTGAATTTAAAAACAAAAAAGCATGATCATATGTTAAACAATTTCTTATTATTCTAAAGCTAGTAAGATTCGTTTTACGCAACTTTTTAACATGACTTTTAAAATGTAACTGAGAATCTAAAATCATACCAAGATATTTTTGTTCTGATACTTGTTCTATAATCTCATCTTTAATTCTAATGTTTAATGATTCTGTTACCGGTAATTTTCTTATTGAAAAGCATATGGACTTTGTCTTTTTAGTATTTAAAGTTAAAAAAGAGGCATCAAGCCAAGCTGACACTTTCTCTAAATTTCTTGTTAACTTTTCTTCAATTTCCATACAGTTCCTACCAGATACGTAGACAACCGTGTCATCAGCATACATTTGAAGACTCGCATCAGGACACACTTCTGGAAGATCATTTATAAGAATACTAAAAAGAATCAGAACCAAAATTGTTCCCTGAGGAATTCCTATATCAATATTATGAGGAACTGACTTAAAATTATCAATGACAACACTTTGTTCACGATTTTTTAAATACGAATCAAACCATAACAGAGATTGTTTTGATATATTATACTTTGTTATTTTTGACATTAAAATATTATGATTTACGGTATCAAATGCCTTTTTCAGATCCAGGAATACTGCACCAACTTTAAATCCTTTATCGAGTGACCGCTTAATATTTTCTAATAATAAGCAAGTAGCAGTTTCTGTAGAATGGTTATGTCTAAAACCAAATTGCAAAGGGTGTGTATAATAAATGACAAAAAGTATAAAAGTATTATATTAACAAGCCAAATGGAAACATTTACAGTAGTGGTCTCTTCCAGAAACACTTTTTTTTTTGCCCAACTTATGTTTAGATGCATAAGTGTTTGTTTGCACACATTCATATCTAGTGTGTTAAACTGGACAGTGTTGGTCAGTTCTTATCAGAGTACTGCTATTACAATAACAGTTATATAGACATTCCCCTTTAAGCTGACTTTTGTCAGCCTGAATATGTGTACAAAATTTAAACAAAACAAAAAACCAACAGCATGGTAGCGGAGTCATCCAAGTGAATTACTGTTACCGTGCTGCCCTCAAGTGGTAAACATGCCGTATTACTCCCACAATGCTTGAGCTTCATCAGGTCATGACATTTTTAGTGCAACTACATGATAAAGTATCTTCAGAGTCCACTGAGAAATTTCTTCTGTCTCTTATTAGTGATGTTTTGTTCAATTAGCAGAAAAGAAAAGCTTTTGTCTATGATTACAGGAGTTTTAAGACATTTTGATGCGAAGGTCCTCAAATAAGCTAAAGCTAGATACTGCAGATAAAGTTGGTCAAGATGTTTGTGTGGTAAATTGTTTCGAAAGCTTTGAATGTTTTATTGGACACACTGTTGGTGTGACGGCAGAACTTTGTCAAGCAAACAGAATGCGAGGAATCCCCTTCCTAAAAAAACAAAGGCAGCTTATATATTTTTATGTATAAGGACACTTTTCTCTGAAAAAGTACAGAATGCTAGCATACATAACATAATAAAGACAACATGTGTGTGCAAATTTAAATAACTGTCTTTTATATTGACATCATACTAACAAAACAAATTATTTAAATATTATCTGAAAGATAATATTTGTTGTATTAAGCCGACACTGATTTTTTTTCTAATCTAAGTTTCACAATCTCTTTTTAAATCTTCTAATTTTAAACAGACAATCTAACGCCCCCTGGTGGTCTATGGAAATATTGCACATAGGGCCAGATTTACAAACAGCTTGCACAAACACAAAACCTATTTTAGCGTAAAAAAACAAACAAAAAAAAACAAAAAAAGTCAGGATTTGCTAAACACATGACAATAATAATAATAAAAAAAACGATAAAAGTGGGTGAACACTTTTTTTTGTGCCTGACCTTATTGCATATGCATATGGGAGGAGGAGAGAATTTAAATGAATCATACAGATTGATTCACTATGGTTTGCGGTAGTCAATTTAACCCACTTTGTGCTTGACATGGTTGCGATAGATGCCCATTTGCACTGCTTTTGGAACTGGTAAATGAGCTGGCTGCATCT